GTTAAGGGGGGGTCAGTGCCAGGTTAAAGGGGGGGTCGGTGCCAGGTTAAGGGGGGGTCAGTGCCAGGTTAAAGGGGGGGTCGGTGCCAGGTTAAGGGGGGGTCAGTGCCAGGTTAAAGGGGGGGTCGGTGCCAGGTTAAGGGGGGGTCAGTGCCAGGTTAAAGGGGGGGTCGGTGCCAGGTCACTCCATTATGGAATTCAGCATCTGGTTGAAATGAGGAAGGGGACAGCAGGTTGGATTTGGGACCCCTGCAGTTTTGTTGGTTACTATGTTACAGGGACCCACTGGATCACTGTATCCAGTTGTGATCACCCTGTTATAGGAAGGATATTATTAAATGGGAGGTTTACCGGGACATTACCAGGAATGGGGGGGGGGTTTGTGTTATAAGGAGAGGCTGGATAGGATGGGACCTTTTCTTCACTGGAGCGTAGGAGGCTGAGGGGTGACTTTATAGAGGTTTATAAAACCATGAGGCGCATGGATAGGGCAAATAGACAGGGGCCTTTTCCCCCAGGGTAGGGGGATTTCAAAACTAGGGGGCATATTTTTAAGGTTAGAGGAGAAAGATTTAAAAAGGGCACGAGGGGCAACCTTTTCACGCACAGAGTGGGATGAACTTCCTGAGGAAGTGGTGGATGTGGGCACAGTTACAACGTTTGAAAAAAACATTCGGACAGGTCCATGGATGGGAAAGTTTGGGAGGGATATGGTCCAGGAGCAGGCAGGTGGGACTAGTGAGAACGTGGTCAGCACGGACTGGTTGGGCCGAAGGGTCCGTTTCTGTGCTGCATGACTATGAGATGAATGTTGGTCCTCCCCAAACCTCTTCCTTATTCCAGCCCTTCCAGAGTTAAACCTCCTGAACCCCAGAACTCTTGTAAACAAGGTGAAACTTTACTGAGCAGCTCTGGAGTGAATTAACTCTGGGGTGCCTGATCCCAGCAGGGTCAGGATTAGCCATGATACCTTGCTGTCTGAGCTGACGCGGGGCCAATGGGCCATTTAGTTTCCGTTATCAGTGTCTTGGGGACTGGATCCTGGTCAGCAGCCATGGCTCTGGCAAGAAAATAAATCTCCGGCTGTTCCCGGGCTGTATCGTGGGGAATGTTCTGAGCCTGCGACAGGGTGGGAGCTTGGAATACTGTGTCAGGATTGGGGCAGACTCTGAAACAAGTCTCACAACACGCAGCGTATCCAGCTTTATTCACGTGACGGCACGGTGATTCAGTGGTTAGCACGGCCGCCTCACAGCACCAGGGACCCGGGTTCGATCCCAGCCTCGGGCGACTATCTGTGTGGAGTTTGCATGTTGTCCCTGTGTCTGCGTGGGTTTCACCCCACGGTCCAAAGATGTGCAGGCTAGGTGGATTGGCCGTGCTAAATTGCCCCACAGTGTCCAGGGGTGTGTAGATTTGGTGGGTTAGGCATGGGGAAATGGGTGGGAGGGGCAGTGTGGGCTAGATGGGCTGAATGGCCCGTTTCCACACTGTAGGGATTCTATGATTACGTCCTTGGTTGGATTTCCAGTCGTATGATGAGTGGATTGTTCCTCAGCAAACACTCTGAAACTGCTAGAGTAGCAGGCACTCTGTCCTTCCTGGTCCTAACTGTATCCTGCTTCACTCTGGAGCTGGAGCTCCTTTGGGATTATTGCCCCGACAAGACTCCCGTCTGGTTGCTGGGTGTGCCTTCAGCAACATTAGGGCCCACACTCTTTCTGAAAGGGAGGAAAGTCCCTAAGAGAGGGAAATAAACAACCGAGGGAGCTAAGGAGAATATTAAGTTGAAAGAAAAAGCATAAAAAGGTCAAAGTCAGTGACAGACCCTAAGACTGGGATAAATTCAGAATCCAGCAAAGGAGGACAAAGAAGAAAATAGTGACAGAGAAAATAAACTAATCGGGAAAACCAGTGAGGAATATTAATACAAAACCTGACAATCAGAGCCCTTAGTAAATGAATCTGGGGAGAGAATTTTGGGGCACAAAGATATTTTACATCAGTCTTGACAGTGGAAGATACTTCAAACATCCCATTAGTACTAAAGAATACAGGGGAGGAATTAGGTCCCATCACCATCACTACATACTAAGCCCAATGGGGCTAAGTCCCCTGGCCCTAATGGCTTACATCCTAGGATCCTAAAACAGGTAGCTACGGAGATAGTGGATGTATTGGTTATAGTCTTCCAAAACTCATAGTCATAGAGTTATACAGTGTGCAATCAGATCCCTCAGACCAACTCGTCCATGCCAACCAGATATCCCAAATTAATCTAGTCTCATTTGCCAGCATTTGGCCCATATCCCTCTAAACCCTTCCTATTTATATACCCATCCAGATGCCTTTTAAATGTTGTAATTGTACCAGCCTCCACCACTTCCTCTGGCAGCTCGTTCCATACTCGCACTACCCTCTGTGTGAAAGAGTTGCCCCTTAGGTCCCTTTTAAATCGCTCCCCTCTCACCTTAAACCTATGCCCCTCTAGTTTTGGACTCTCCCACCCCAGGGAAAAGATCTTGTCTATTCACCCTATCCATGCGCCTCATGATTTTATAAATCTCTATATGGTCACCCCTCAGCCTCCAATATTCCAGGGAAAATAGATCCAGCCTATTCAGCCTCTCCCTGTAGCTCAAACCCTCCAACCCTGGCAACATTCTTGTTAATCTTTTCTGAAGCCTTTCAAGTTTCACAACATCCTTCCTACAGCAGAGAGACCAGAACTGAATGCAATATTCCAAAAGTGGCCTAACCAATGTCCTGTAGAGCCACCAACTCCTATACTGAATGCACTGACCAATAAAGGCAAGTGTACCAAACACCTTCTTCACCGCCCTGTCTACAGTGTGACTCCTCTTTCAAGGAACTATGACCCTGCACGCCAAAGTCTCTTTGCTCATCAACACTCCCCAGGACCTTACCATTAAGTGTATAAGTCCTGCCCTGATTTGCTTTTCCAAAATGCAGCCCCTCACATTTATCTAAATTAAACTCCATCTGCCACTCCTCGGCCCATCGGCCCATCTGATCAAGGTCCCACTGTACTCTGAGGTAACCTTCTTCACTGTCCACTACACCTCCAATTTTGGTGTCATCTGCAAACTTACTAACTATACCTCCTATATTCACATCCAAATCATTTATATTAATGTCAAAAAGCAGTGGACCCAGCACCGATCCTTGTGGCACACCGCTGGTCACAGACCCCCTGTCTGAAAAGCAACCCTCCATGACCACCCTCTGTCTCCTACCATCAAGCCAATTTTGTATCCAATTGGTCAGTTCTCCCTGTATTCCATGTGATCGAACCTTATCAACCAGTCTACCATGAGGAACCTTGTCAGAAGTCTCATTGAAGTCCACATTGACAATGTCTATGCTGGAAAACTGCTCATGTGACAGCTCTATTCAAAAATAGAGGGAGGCAAAAAGTGGGTAACTCCAGGCAGATTAGCCTAACATCAATTGTTGGAAATGTATTGGAATCAATTACTAAGGAAGTCATTGCAACACATTTGGAAAATCATAATCTAACCAAGCAGAATCAGTGTGGCTTCATGAAAGGGAAATCATGCCTGACTAATTTATTAGAGTATTTTGAGGAGGTCTCAACCAGTGCGAACAGAGGGGAACCAGTAGAACCAAAGTAGGGGAACCAAAGTATTTGAACTTTCAGAAGGAGTTCGACAAGGTACTTCACAGAAGGTAAAGTCAGGAGAGCTCATGGTGCTGGAGGTAGTATATTAGCATGGATAGAGAATTGGCTCATGGGCAGGAAACCGTGAGTGGGAATAAGGAGCTCTTTTCCAGGTTGGTAACATGTCACCAGTGGGGTTCCACTGGGATCAGTGCTGAGACTGTAACTGTTTACAAACGTAGATTAATGACTTGGAGGAAGGAAGTGAATGTCCATAGCCAAACGTGCAAACAACATAAAAATAGGTGGAAAGGTAATGTGCGAGAGGGATACAGTTTACAGAAACATATTGATAGGTTAATTAAAGGGGCAGATTTCAAACACAGCAGTTCCAAATTCCTGTAATCTCACTCATTGTTAAAATTGTTAACTATCAGTCCTTCAGCATGTTTTACAATGCTCAAGGTGCCACATAAATGCTCCCTTTTGTTGTCACAGCCCCAGTGTAAATCATCCTGTGACTGACTGCGTCCAATTTGCTCAGAGAAAGTCAACATCTGTTGAAGTTTCAAATTTAACTGTAAAAGGAATATACTCTTAATGAAAATCAGAGGATCAGGAGTTCAAGACCCACTCCAGAAATGTGACCATGGAATTCAAA